AGAAAAAAAAGGGATTGATAAGATTTTGATTGAAAAAGGGAAAAAGAAAAATTAAAAAAAAAAAGTTAAAAAATAAAATTAACTTTGAAAGACTAAAGAATCATGGTAAAAACGCCATGAATTCTATGTGCAGTATTTCCCTAGCTCTGGAGTTCTGCCGTTCTCATCGATGGGTAAACTTGGTCTTGGCTGGCTATTCTTGCTGATCTTCTGGGGGAGGGGCCTGTTCCCGTGGTTCCCAAATGTCTTTCCTGGAGGTGGAATTGCCCCGCCCTTGCTCGGTCTGGGCTAAGTAATCTGCTCGGGTTTGCTCTCAGGAGCTTTTGTTTCCTGCAAGCTTTCCGTACAGCTTTAGAGGCCAAGAGTGAAAATGGCGGCCTCCCAATCTCCACCGTGGAGGAGCCGAGAACTCGGGGCCCCGCTCCTCAGTGCGCCCCCAGAGAAAAGTCGTCAGTCACTCCCGTCTCCCCAGTCTCTGGCCACACTCTGTGCTCAGCCGGCCTGTGACCGAGCATTTCTATCTCTGGCACCCGACCCTGTGTGGAGTCTCCAAACCCAGCAGATCCCTGCGGTGTGCTCCCGGGGAGAGGAAGGGGAGTCTCATCGGATCTGCCGCTTGTTGGGTTCCTGCTGGAGGAGCAGAGGCCTGACTGTGCCCCGGATCACGGTTTATGGCAACCCCGAGCTGAGAGCCCGTGCCTTGGCTCCATCTCTGCAGCCGGCTCTCCTGCTCCGATACCCGGGAGCTCTGCTGCACTCAAGCACCCCCAGTCTTTCTGTGACCCTGAGGGTCCCGAGACCACACTGTCCTGCAAGGGTTCGACCCCCAGCTTAGCCACTGGAGCGACATCCCTCAGCAGAGCAGACTTCTGAAAGTTCCGATTTTGTGCTCTGCTGCTCTATCACTTGCCAGAAGGGGCCGATGGAGGCCCCTCCCCCGCCATCTGTCCTCTCGAATATTGCCTCAGATTCACTTCTCCGTACGTCCTACCTTCCAGAAAGTGGTCGCTTTTCTGTTCAGAGAGTTGTTGCTATTCTTCTCTTTGATCTCCTGTTGAGTTTGTAGGTGTTCAGAATGGTTTGATCTCCATCCAGCTGAATTCCTGAGACCAGATGAAATCCAGGTCTCCTACTCCTCTGCTATCTTGCTCTGGATGTGCCCATTTTTAAATTAGACTGCTTGTTTTTTTTTTTTATTTTGTGGTTTTGTTTTGTTTGGTTTTGCTTTTGAGTTGCATGAGTTCTTTATATTTTGGATAATAACCCCTTATCAGATATATGATTTGCAAATGTTTTCCCATTCAGTAGGTTGCCTTTTTTTGTTGATCGTTTCCTTTGCTATTTGGAAGCTTTTTAGTTTGATGTAGTCCCACACTTTTTTTTTCTTAATTGTTTTTACTTTTGGTATCATGTTACATAAATCACTACCAAGACCTATGTCAAGTAGCTTTTCCCTGTGTTTTTTGCTAAGAGTTTTATGGTTTCAAGTCTTCAAGTCTTGAATCCATTTTGAGTTAATTTTTGTGTATCGTGTAAGGTAGTGGTGCCGTTTCATTCTTTTGCATGTGGCTGTCCAGTTTTCAGAGCACCGTTTATTGCATGTGGCTGTCCAGTTTTCCCAGCACCGTTCTTTCCCCGTATATTCTTGGCTTCTTTGTCATACGATCCTGGACCACAGATGTGTGGGTTTCCTTCTGGGCTCTCTCTTTTGGTGATCTGTGTGTCTGTTTTTATGACAATACTAGATTGTTTTGATTACCCTAGCTTTGTACTATTCTGAAATCAGCCATTGTCCTTCTTTCCCCAGATTGCTCTGGCTATTCAGAGTCTTTTGTGACTTCATACAACTTTTTGGATCCTTTGTTCTATTTCTGTGAAAAATGGAATTAGAATTTTGATAGGAATTGCATTGAATCTGTAGATGGTGTGGGGAAGTATGGAGATTTTAACACTATTAATTCTTCTAAATCTTGAGCGTGGAATGTCTTTCCATTTACGTGTGTTGTCTTCAGTTTCTTTCCATAACATCTTATAGTGTTCAGTATATAAGCTTTCACCTCTTGGTGAACTTTCTTCCTGGATATTTTATCCTTTCTGATGCAACTTCAGGTGGGATCATCTTCCTAATTTCTTTTTCTGATGATTCATTTTTAGTGTATAGACACACAACAGATTTTTGTGTATTGATATTGTATCCTGTACCTTTACTGAATTCAGTCATTAGTTCAAACAGTTTTTCCGTGGAGTCTTTAAAGTTTTCCTTATATACTCTGCCATCTGCATATAGTGACAGTTTTTCTTGTTTCTTTCCAATTTAGATGCTTTTTATTTATTTTTCCTGCATAATTGCTCTGCCTAGGTTTTCCAATACTATGTTGAATAAAAGTGGTGAGAAAAGATCAGGGAAGTTCCTAACATAGAGGATCTTAGAGGAACTGAAGAAAGCTGGAACTTTTCACTGTTGGATGGGATGTTATCTGTGGGCTTGTCATATGTGGCCTTTATCATGTTGAGGTATGTTCCCGCTCTACCCACTCTGTTGGGAATTTTGATCATAAATGGATATTAAGTTTTGTCAAATACTTTGTCTGCATCTCTCAGGATGATCACATGATTTTTATTCTTCATTTTGTTTATATGATGGATCACTTTGATTGATGTGCACACGTGAACCCTCCTTGCATTCCTGGAATAAATCCCACTTAGTCATAGTATATGATCCTTTCAGCATTTTGGTGAACTTGGTTTGCTAGTATTTTGTTGAACATTTTTCCCTCTGTGTTCATCAGGGATATTAGCCTGTAATTTTCTTTTCTTGGGGGTCCCTGTCTGGATTTGGTATCAGGGTAATGTTGGCCTCAGGAAATGATTTTGGAAGCTTTCTCTTCTGTTTTCTGCAAATGTTTGAGAAGGATTGGTATGAATTCTTCTATGAATGGTAGAATTCACCATTAAAGGCATCGAGTCCTGGAACTTCGTTTTGGGGAGGTTTTAAATTGCTGATACGATGAGCATTGGGTGCTTTATGTAAGTGTTGAATCACTAACTTCTATTCCTGAAACTAATATTATACTGTGTAGGTCACTAATTAGAATTTATTTATTTATTACTTTATTTTTAAGATTTTTTTTTTTACTTTTTTTAAAAGATTTTATTTATTTGACAGAGAGAGACATGGCAAGAGAGGGAACACAAGCAGGGGGAGTCGGAGAGGGAGAAGCAGGCTTCCCACCGAGCAGGGAGCGCAATGTGGGGCTTGATCCCAGGACCCTGGGATCATGACCTGAGCCGAAAGGCAGACACTTAATGACTGAGTCAGCCAGACTCCCCTAAGGTTTTATTTTCTATGAGAGAGAGAGGGACAGACAGACAGCACAAGCGGGAGGGGCAGAGGAAGAGGAGGAGAGAGAGAGTCTCAAGAAGACTCCATGCTGAGCTTGGAGCCTGACAAAGGGCTCAGTCACATGACCCTGAGATCACAACCTGAGCCAAAACCAAGAGTCCGACGCTCAACCGACTGAGCCATCAGGTGCCACAACGAACTAGAATTTAAATAAAAACTTGAAACATAAGTATAAATAAATAAATTGCTGATTCTTTGAGGTTGTCCAAATTGTTACTGTTCACAGTAGTCCCTTTGAGCCTTTGTTTTGGTGGTGTCCATTGTAACATCTCTACTGTCATTTCTGATTTTACTCCCCTCTTTTCTTTTCTTGGTGTGTGTAGGTAAAACTTTATGAATTTTGTTTATATGTATATATATATATATATATATATATATATTTTTTTTTTTTTTTTTTTAGATTTATTTACTTAGTTGAGAGAGAGAGAGAGAGTGCACAGGGGGGGAGAGGCAGAGGGAGAGAGAATCCCAAGCCGACACCGCACTGAACACAGATCCTGACACGGGGCTCGATCTCAAGTCCCTGAGATCATGAAGTGAGCCAAAATCAACAGTCAGGCCCTTAATCAACTGAGCCACCCAGGCGTGCTGATTTTTTCAGTCCCTCCTTTATTTATTTCTGTTCTGATCTTTGTTGTTTCCCTCCTACTGACTTTGGGCTTTGTTCTTTTCCTGGGTCACAAGGTGTCACATTAGGGTGTGTGTTTGAGACTTCTCTTCCTTCTTGAGGCAGGCCTGTATCGCTCTAACCTTCCCTCTTAGAACCACTTTTGGTGCCTCTCACAAATGTTGGTATGTGTTTAAACAGCATTGAATTCTATTTTGTCTGATTATAGCCCTTCCAGCTCTGTCTTGGTTCCCACTTATGCAGAACATCTTTTCTGTCCCGTCACTTTTGGTCTGTGTTGTCCTTAGGTCCAAAGTGAGTCTTTTTGTGGGTGGCACATGGATGGGTATTGTGTTTTCAACCACTGTATGTCTTTTGATTGGACATTTCACCGAGTTCATTTTAAATCACTGTCGACTGTTCTGCTCTGGGGTTGCGTAAGCCCGTTGACTTGAATAAAGAAAGCCCAGACACTGGTTTTGTCTCTCCTTTTACTTTCACCTTGGAGTTATTTGTAATAAGAAAGACTGTTTATTGAATCCCTGCTATGTGTGAGGCCATTGCTGCATGTTGACCCACTTGATCCGTTCTGTAACTCTGCGTAAGAGGGACGATCCTTTTCCCCATTCTAGAGGTGAGGAAACTAAAGCTCAGAGAGGCTCAGTCTGTGCGTCTAGCAACTATCTATGGAGCTTGGCCTCTGTGCCTGGCCGTGATGTGGGCCTAGGATACAGAAGAGGCCCAGAGGGGTCCTTGGGAATCGGGATGTCCTCTAGCAACCCTCTGTCCTCTCTGATCGCTGGCCATACTGGGCTGGCTCTGGACACGCACACTATGGACCCTGCTCCTGCCACTCCAGGGCAGGCGCTGTGTGCCCTGTCCGTGAGGGCGATCCATCCTCCCCGCATCCAGCTCATGGTCAGGGGCAGGGTCACTGAGGGAGCGGACGGGAGAAAGTTGGGAGATGACCATGCCTTTTTCTCTTAACAGGAAGGACCTGCTTCTGTCTGAATTATGGAGTCTGGCACTAGGTGGGTACCAGATGGCCAGGGCTGGGGTGGAGGGTGTGGGAGGAGGGCCTGAATGTGGACAAAGAAAGGAGTCCAGTCCATATTTGGTGATATTTTTGTTCACAGAGTTGGGTTTTAATTCTGACTTCCTGCTCACAGCTGTGTATCTTGGCACTTCCTAGCCCTGACCCTCAGTTTCTGTATCTGTGAAAGGGGTTATTTGAGGATTAAATGATGATACGGGGAGGGAATGTAGAGCAGTTAGAATTTTTATTGAGAGACATTGAGTTTGTTTCCTTTGTCTATTTAGTTCTTACATACAACTGTCCGTGAGCACCTTTATGCATAAAGCTCTTTACCAAATACAGGATGATCCTCTCAGGACATATTCCCAGAAGTGGACTTCCTCAGTGACAGGCAGTGACCAGCTTGATATCTGCTGTCAAATTTCTTCCAAAAACCTTCCACCATGACTTTCAGCAGCAAGGACTGAAAGAGCCAGTTCTGCAGTTCTGCATGAAGCCTCTCCAAGCCGGGGTTCTATTTTGAAATAGCTTTGCTAGTAAGTGAAAATCGGTTTCTTACTGTAGGAATGTATGCGGCCTTTTGCTTTTTGTTTTGTGTAGATTGGTTCAAATAAATTCAGTGTCCGTGTAATAAAATGAGAGAGAAGAGAACCCACTGCCATGTGAGAAGATTTAAATGAGTGTATTTTGTTAGACTCCCAAGAGCCCCAGCCTTATTTTTCTTTGAACTTTTGACATTAAATATTGCTATTCCCATCCTTTTATAGTGTGATTTTGAGAGCTCTGTTCCTCTGTTCTTTGTTATAATCAAAAAGGAGGTTCTTCAGAGTGTAACCTGCATTTACCAGGTACGTCCTACTAAATTAGACACAGTTCACATTACAGTTCTAGGTGGAAACTGTGCCCATAAATGAAGCCTATTTTTTGCTGGAATATTTTCGGGGGTTGCAGGCATGGGACCCGGGACAGCCTGTGGTGCTGGTGGGCCTGGCCGTACCTCCCAGGCATGTTTGGGAGTGAGGCCCGTGGCCTTCTCCCTGAGGAGCTGAAGCATTTCCCGACTTGCTCTTTTTCTCCCTGGGTCTGTGGACTTTGGTGAAGGATTTGATTCACAGTGTCAGAGCACGCCCTCTGACTGTGTTCGGGGGCCTGCTCTTTCAGAAACCATCAAGAGCTGTCTTAGAAAACATCTGGAACAATTGAAGGCCCCTGAGGGGACTTGTTCGGAAGCCCTTGGAAAACTGCATCTTGACTCCTCGTCAGATGAGTCTGCTGTGACTGCTGGCTCCATCCCAGGGCAGTCCCCAGTCCCGGGAACCTGCCATTTGAAGTGTGTATGTTACGCCATAGGGAACTTTGCCACCTGAGTCCTAGCTAGACACCAGCTCACATTTTTGCTTCTCTTTTTGGAAAAGTGCTAGGTACATCTTTGGATTCTTCTTGATCACCCCCTGCTTTGGTCTTGCACACAATCTGCACACAGATCATTGGGTTGATAGAATTCATTCTTCCCTTCCACAGATTCCCAGAAGACCCTGCTGTGTGTATGACTCTCTGTTTAGCCAAAAAAGAAGTCGTGGTTTTGAATAGCCTCGGTGTGACTGTTCTCAGTGAGAACGAGGTGAGTGGCTTGGGGAAGGGGAGCGGGAAGGCCGTGTGATTGCTGACCGAGGGGGACCCCAGGCTGTGCCCCATGGACGCACCTGCTCTGTAATAGCCGTCGTTCCCTCCCACTGCTCACTTGTGTTCGTGCCGCCGGTCACAGGGGACCCGCCAATGCCCCACATCGTGGGCTAGGTGGTGCCCGTCACAAAAACACCAAATGGAACAAATGGCTTGGCCTGAAACCTGTTATATTTTCAAAATTCTAGTAAGAATCCTGTGTCCAGGATCCTCTGGTAATTTCCTAAGCTGGTACTTACTGTTGGTGTTAAAAAATAAAGGGGTACGCAGTCTCAGTGCCTCACATGACGGCTTTCTGGTTGGGATTTACCCTGTGCTAGGGGAGGTCATAGAAGGGGACAGAACATCTCTCTTTGCATGGTAGCCCGGTCACGCATAGGATCTGGCTGTGAGCTGTGGGTAGATCGTGTGCCCTGGGGTCAAATTGTGAGACCTGGAACAAGATCATCTCACCAGCAGGGGCCTGAAGCCAGTGTAGGGACACACCGCTGCAAGCTGCTTTGCATTGCTGGGGGGATTACAGAATGATCATTTGATCCCTGTCCGTGTTCGAAAATGGCCAAGTCATTATTGTGAAACCCGAAAATCAGGCCCTGCTGAGAGAAGAGAATCCTTCGCCAGTGTTGGCGGGGACCTGAAACCCTGCCCCTCCATTCATGTCATCTTTCCTGAGTGCCTGCCCTGGGCAAGGCAAGGGCTTTGGGGGGAGGCCAAGATAGATGCAGTCCCGGTGTCCAGGGACCCAGGTTCCCATCAAGGCGTGTGGCCTGTCAACAAATACGTTGAGCAGAACAGAGAGGGGAAGTCACTCCGTGCCATTTGAGGGGCTGGAGGAAGGTTTTCTGTGCCATTTGAGGGTGATGTCACTGACGCATGGCCCTCCTGTCCCCCCCGCAGGGTACCAGATCGCCACCGCCTGGCCAGCAGTAGCCCCAGCACGTTCACCACGGTGGAGGTGGGTGCCTTGAGAGGTAGTTCACAACACCGAGCTGGCCCCGGAGTCGGCATACATCTTCAGGCTGCCGGCCAAGACGAGGCAGGGCTGGTCGAGCCGCTGGAGGGCCCCGTCATCACCACTGAGAAGAGAGGTAAGGCCCGAGGCCCAAGTCCACTGTCGTGGTGCTATGGGGAGGAGAGCTGGGCAGGAAACGGAGCCGGGAACTTGCAGGGTCCACGGCTTCCAGGTCAGGCCCTGTACCGTCGCATGTCTACACAACCTGACGTTTATCAGCCAGGCAGGAATGTCCCCGGTTTAATGCTGGAGACTGGGCGCAGAGAGGTTGTGTAACTGGCCCAGGGTGGCTCTGAGTCACCGTGTTGGAGGGCAGCTCCCTGAAGGCAGGCACTTGGTCTCTGATGTTCAAAACCACGTGCCCAGCTGAGCAGGTGCTCAGTAAAGTTTCCTGTGGAGCAATGCTAGGGAGATCTGTCTTCATGGACGCCGCTTCTGTCCCAAACACTGGCGAGGTGCTTATTGTACATTGTCTTGCTTTATCCTCACCAAAGCCTGGGGAACAAAGCACTGTGAGCCCCAGTTCTACAGAACAAGTGGGGGCCCAGACAGATTCAGTCAGTTGCCGGGGACGCAGCTGTGGGGCAGTGATGTGAACACCCTCCACACCCCCCCCAGACCCCCTCTTCCCACACCAATCTTCTGTGAGTTCCCATCTCGGCAAGCCCCTGACGTGCCCTTCAGCCTCATTCTGGAATCTGCCTCAGCAGGCTCCCTAACCAAGGCCACCCCAAGTCCAGGTGTGGAGGTCAGGGCCAGGCCCAGAGGTCTGAGGGAAGAGGACGACTGGAAGGCACTTGAACGCAGAGCCGACGGGTGCGCTCGGAGAGATGACCTGTCCTACCTCCCATCTGGGAGTGCCTAGCACCAGGCTCTGGAGCTGTGTGACCTTAGGCAAGGCCCTTCCCCTCTCTGTTCCCTGGCGCCCACCTGGTGGCACTTGGGAAGCACTGAAGGCCAGCACCGTCCACGTGGTGCCATGGCCTTGCTCACAGTGTGAGCCAGTGTCCCCCCCCGTGTGATCACTCTAGGACAAGATCTAGAGCAGATGGTTTAAGTGAGGCAGGGGTTGAACCCAGAGTCCATGAAAAACAATCCAAAGGGCTGATTCAAAACCTACCAAAGATAGAAGGCAAAAGAGGCCGGTGTGCACTGAGCTCTTGCCACGTTCTGGCCACCTTCCAGGCATTGCAGCCCATTGCTCTCTCTACTTCCACACATCAGGCCGAACCTGTCCTCTAGGGTTTTTGTGGAGGCTTCATTCCACAGGCTAGACTGATGAAAGCATTGGCCATTGGCCATCGATTGAACCTCCAGCCCCTCTCCCGTCCTCAGAAGTCATGGGTGGGACCAAAACTTCCAACCCTCTGATCACAAGGTTGGTTGTCCTGGTGACCAGCCCACATCCTCATTAACATGACACGACACCTTTGTCACTCTGGACAAAGACACGTATATGAGAAACAAGTTTTCTCATCTGAATGGCTAAATAGATATTCTTCTTCCAAGTCACAATATTGCAAACATGGCTCCAGTCTCTGCTTCTGTGCTCACAGGATGCCCTCCCAGGGGTGTGTCCAATCTCTCTCCTCTTCTAAGGATGTTTGGATCATCTTATTGCCTCAGTATTTGTCAAATGATTACTGGATCCTAAATTGCTTCTCAAACTATATGCCTTTTCTTCATGTTCAGCAACTGATCATGTGGAACACTTGGGCTCCCCGTGTGAATTAGCTATTATAATTCCTTGCTCATGCTCATCTGTCCAGACTTTGCAGTTACATTTGCAAGCAGCTTTGCTGTTAGTGACCTTCAAGCTTGAAGGTGGTCCTCTTGACTTTAGGTGTCATTGAAAAGACCCCTAGATACTTTGTTTTGGGGTTTGGGGGGCATCGGTAGGTTTAGCTTGTATTTGTAGGACCCAGGACTCTATATATGCATTTATGTCAGGTAGATCTCTAGAAGTTGTAATTGTTGGGTTAAAAGGCAAATGCATTGAAAACCTTGATAGATAAAACCAAATTGCCTTCCAAAAAAGAAACCAGTCCCTGGATTAGGGTGCTTTCTACTGTACTGTGTTGCTCTTAAGTGCAAGGTCTGCAAAACCCTGTGTCCATATAAGCTGGCATCTACAGGTACCAGGGGTTAGAACACCAACGTATCTTTTTGGAGGACACAGTTCAACCCACAACAGAGGAGTTTTCGTACAACAAAGCTGTGGTCTCTACTCTGGCACCAGGAAAGCATTTCCTAAGACGCTGGCGGCATCCTATAGACAGCGGCTATGTAGGCATAACGGGGAATTCAGCGTGCATCCCTGTCTCTGGACAAGCTTCACCGCCCTGCTGCAGCCAGGGGTCCTGGGCGTGCCCTTTGTTCATCTGTCTGGTCACAGCTTGAGCGGTTCTTGTCCTTATTTGCTGAGTATTCCAGAGACCCGGGACCCAGAGCCCCTGGCCCCCTGGCCTGCACTCTGGCTGCTGCAGCCCTCCCCAGACTAATTAACTAACAAATTGACGGGAGGGAGAATGTGAGCTGGGCATCCCTGTGTGCATCCTGGTGTGGGTTAAATTCTGAGATTCAGGGCCTGGCTACCACCATTCATGTTCCACAGGGTGTCTAAACATCGAACGAGCACCTACCCTACCCTAGGCCCTTCCTATGCCACCTGACATTGGAGGGACCACGGGGCTTCCAGCTTAGGTCTGAGTCAGGGCAGAATAGGGGTGATCTGGCGTGCAGAACACTTACTGCCCACCCAGGGTGAGTCGGCCACGAACCTGGGTGGCTGTCAGGGACAGGGTGTGGCCAGCCAGTAGATGATGCAGAACCAGCCCACATGCATAGTTCCCTTAGAGTTCTGGGTTCACTAGGCATTGGGCAGCGTCGTCACCCACCTGCTACCTGGGCCGTAGTCCCCGCCTTAGCCTGGGGTCCTTCAAGTATTTGGGATAAGATGCTCAGTGTCCACATACCACACACCGGCATCAGGAAACCCGGGCTCTCGGAGTCTGATCCTCTACCTGGGGGCCCCTGTGCTCCTCTTCATGAATGTGGCACCTGCTTTTTGTCTGTAAACAACCAAGAACCCCTGTTTGAATTAGTGACTTCCTCCAGCGCAGTTGGCTGATTCAACTTGAAGCGGAGGTCTTGAGACCCCGTGGGCGGGCTGACCTTGATGTATTTGCAGCCTCCAAGAGACGAGAGCCTGAACAGCCTTCTTCAGGAATACCAGATCTACTACTGGGAGCTGGAGTCAGAGGTATCCTCAGCCACCGTGTCCAAGATGCTCAAAACCGCTTCGGCTTTACAGGCTGAGCTCCCAGGTGAGACACTTCCCTGTCCTGACACAAGCGCCGCCCTGAGCACCCAGGAGAGGAACCGTTGTGCATGTTCTCTCTGTGCAAGGCATTGTGGGAGATGCCCTGGAGGGCCAGAGGAGATGGGGCTCACCTCCAGGGGGCACAGCCACTGGGGTGGACAGGTCTCTGTGGCAGCCCAGGTGTGCATGGAGAGGGGTGGCCCATGGAGAGCTCCTGGGCTTTGGGGACTTGCACCCAGTGTGGCGATCAGGGGAGGCTTCCCGGAGGAGGAGCCATTTGAGATAGGTTGTCAGGGAAAAGGGATTTTACTGAGGACACCAGGGAAGGTACACCAGAGAGTTAGTCAGCAAGAGGCTTCCATCTGACCTTGGAAATCTTTCCTGCCCTTCAAGTCAGTGAATAGAGACAGCAGTAGTTCAGGGGAAGCAGGTGAGTGCTCTTGTGGTTGCTCTTATGTTTTGGAAGTGGGCCTTTAGACAACATTCATTGACCTGGACAATATTCATTGACTAACCAGGACCTGGAGAACACTCTACCTGTCCACACCATCTGGTCTTTAGAATAGAGGCATCTCAGTGAGCCAAGGGATAGCACCAAGCTGAGTACCCATTACAGCACTTACTCCATCCAGTGTAGTAGCAAGCAATTAGAGAAAGGAGCAGCAATTGCCTTGGCGATATCAGATACTGATTGTTCTCACTTAGCACAGGACCAGAATGGAAGCATGCCACCAACCATTAGGTGGTGACTGTGTGAGTGACAGCTACATATCCCATGAATGTGAACCAAGATCTAGTTGGAAATACTGCAAGGTTATGAGAATGGCTACTAGGAGGGCCAAAGTTCCCCATTCCAATGAGAATGAAATAAGTCTGGGAAGATGTTTAATTTTGTTTCCCTTTGTTACAGAAATGTGGCCCTGCCTACTGACAAACATCCTATGCTGGCATATTAAAATGCCCTATGCCTCCCAATGTCCATATATCTCTGAACCCAAATTATAAGTGATCCTTTGGCCCAACATATTGCTCAGGCCGTAGGACTCAGCCAGACTCCCACTTTAAAGAAGAGAATATTTGAGACACAGGATCCTCTGAGACACAGGATCTGAATGGCCTCAAGGCTGAACCTAGTATGGAAAAAGGGCCAATGGATGGAAATGGATACAGACGGCCAGAGTTCTTCAATAGAGATGAGAATGTGATTATGATGAAAATGAAGTGACTAGGACAATTTCCTAGCGAGCTAACCATTTCAGGAACAAGAAACATGTGTGGGCTTGGGCAAAGGGAACCTCCCTTGGCTACCCCTAGGAACCTTGTCAGCAAGAGGCCCGAATTCTTCCTGCCGAAAGAGAGAGGATCCTTCTGGCCTTGCCTGTTTTTCCTGTCCTTCACATCAGTGAATACAGGTAACAGTGGCTCAGGGACTGCAGGGGGGCTTTGGGGTGAATCTCAAGTGATTTGAACTGGGCCCCGGTGCAGTATTCTACAAATGGGCTCTTTCTGTGCAGGCCATGCCATGAAGTGTTCTGTACATTGGTGAGGTATCTTCTCTTCATAATGAAGGCTTGTCCATCAGCCAGGGGAGGGAGACAAGCTGGCTACTTATCAGCATTCGTAGACTAGCCAACAAAGAACTAAGCAGATGTGTGTGTATGTGTGTGTGTGTGTGTGTGTCTGTGTTCAGTATATGTGTAATGTGTGGTGTGGTGTATGTGTGTATGTAGTCGGTGTTGTTTCAGTGTGAGGTAAGTCTGATTGGCGTGTCTTGCTTGTGTGGTGTATGTGTGGTGTGTTTGCAGTGATTGAGTGGTGTGTATGGAGTGTGTGTTTCCTCTGTTGTACGTGTGGCTTGTGTGTGATGGAGAGGTGTTTTTTTATGGTGTCTATTTGGTGTTTGTGTAGTGTATGTATGTGGGGGTATGTGTTGTGTATATGTATATGTGCAGTGTGTTTGCGGTGTATGTGTTGTGTGAGTGACAGCTTTTTATGTGGTGTAAGTGTGGTCTACTGTGCCGGGTTTATGAGGTGTGTGCACTGTGTATGTTTGGTCCGTTTTTCTATGGTATAAGCATTGTGAGTTTCTGGTATATATGTGGCATGTATTATATGTGATCTGTGCATATGTAGTAGTATATGCATGTGATTTAGGTTGCGTGTGTGGTGTGCGTATATATTGAGTATAGTATCTTTGTGTAGGTTTTTGTGTGTGGTGTGTGTGTGTGTGTTTGGCATATGTCCGGGGTGTGTGTGATAAATATGTTCTATTCCTGTGGTGAGTATGGTCTGTGTGAGGCGTATGTGGGTGGTAGAGGGGTGGAGTGTGGATGGTGTATACGGCGTCTGTGGTGTTGGATATGAGGTGATTTTTGTTGCGTGTGTGGTGTGTGAGGGGAATATGTGGCATGTTTTGGGATAGGTCTGTGTAGTATGTTTGTGATGTGCTTGTGTTTTGCACATGTATGTTTTGTTTTTGAGATACGGGTTAGGTGTGGTATATGTGTGTGCATGTGTTGTGTGTGGTTTATGGGAGGTGTGTAGGCATGTGTGGCATATGTGTCATATGCGTCATGTATGTGTTGTTTGTAATGTACATGTGGTAAATGGGTCAACTGTGTGGTATGAATCCGGTGTGTGTGTCTGTGTTCTACAGATGGTTTAAATGTGGGGGGTAGGTGGTGTTTTCTGTTGTATATTGTGTATTTAGTGAGTGTTTGTGTCAAATGTGTGGTATGTGTCCTATGTGTGGCATGTCCATGGTGTAGGTGTTGTTAATGTCTGGTGTCTTTTTGGTGTGTGTGTACTCTACGTGTTGTGTGTGGTGTTCATGGGTTTGCGTGCTGCATGTGTGAGTGTGGTGTACGTGTGGCCCCTGTGTGTCATTTACATGTGGTGGTATTGAACGTGCGCTGTGACTCTTATGGGGAATCTGTGTTCGGTTACTGGGGTTTATTTGTAGTGGTGTGTTCGGAATTTCTGTGTGTTTGTGTGGTTAATGCGTCTGTGAGCTGTATGTGGGTTCATGAGGCGTGTGCATTGTGGAGGAGGTGGTGCATGTGTGGTGTCTGTGGTGTGCATCGTAGGTGTGGTGAGTATTTCGTATTTGTGGTGTGCATGTCTGCAGGTGTTGGGTGAGTGGCAATGTGAGTGTGTTACATAAATGTGTGGTATGTGTGAGACGTATATGGGATGTATTTCTGGGGTGTATGAGTGGTGATTGTCTCCTCTGTGAGATATGAGTGCTGTGTTTGTAGTGTATGGGGGTTTTTGTAGGATATCTACTGTGTGTGGCTTGTGTGGGTGTATGTAATTCCCATGCTCTGTGTATGTGTTGTATGTGTGGTAAATATATTGGGCATTTTGGTGGTGACTTTGTTGTATTTGAGGAAAATGAAATCTGTGTGCAGTGTGTGCTTGCTGTGTCTGGTTTCTGGTTGGTGTATATAGAGTGGGTCTGTGGTGTGATTTGTATGTGTTGCATATGGTGTGTGTGTGTAGTGAATTTCATGTGTTTTTTTTTATGTTATGTTATGTTAGTCACCATACACTACATCATTAGTTTGTGATGTAGTGTTCCATGATTCATTGTTTGAGTATAACACCCAGTGCTGCATGCAGGTACGTGCTCTCCTTAATACCCATCACCGGGCTAACCAATCCCCTCACCCGCCCTCCTAAAACCCTCATTTGTTTGTCATAGTCCATAGTCTCTCATGGTTCATCTGCCCTCGGATTCCCCCCGCCTTCATTTTTCCCTTCTCCTAATGTCCTCCATGCTATTCCTCATGTTCCACAAATAAGTGAAACCATATAATAATTTACTTTCTCTGCTTGACTTATTTCACTTAGCATAATCTCCTCCAGTCCCATCCATGTTGATGCAAATGTTGGGTATTCACCCTTTCTGATGGCTGAGTAATATTCCATTGTATATATGGACCACATCTTCTTTATCCATTCATCTGTTGAAGGGCGTCTCAGCTCTTTCCACAGTTTGGCTATTGCGGACATTGCTGCTATGAACATTGGGGTGCATAGGGCCCTTCTTTTCACTACATCTGTGTCTTTGGGGTAAATACCCAGTAGTGCAATTGCTGGGTCATAGGGTAGCTCTATTTTTAAATTTTTGAGGAACCTCACACTGTTTTCCAAAGTGGCTGTACCAACTTGCATTCCCACCAACAGTGTAAGAGGGTTCCCCTTTCTCCACAACCTCTCCAACATTTGTTGTTTCTTTCCCTGTCCATTTTGGCCATTCTAACTGGTGTAAGGTGGTATCTCAATGTGGTTTTGATTTGAATTTCCCTGATGGCTAATGATGATGAACATTTTTTCATGTGTCTGTTAGCCATTTATATGTCTTCTTTTGAGAAGTGTCTATTCATGTCTTCTGCCCATTTTTTTGACTAGATTATTTGTCTTTAGAGTGTTGAGTTTGAGAAGTTCTTTATAGATCTTGGGTATCAACCCTTTGTATTATCATTTGCAAAAAATCTTCTCCCATTCCGTGGGTTGCCTTTTTGTTTTGTTGACTGTTTCCTTTGCTGTGCAGAAGCTTTTTATCTTGATGAAATCCCAAAAGTTCATTTTTGCTTTTGTTTCCCTTGCCTTTGGGGACATGTCTTGAAAGAAGTTGCTGTGGCCAATGTCAAAGAGGTTACTGCCTATGTTCTCCTCTAGGATTTTGATGGATTCCTGTCTCACATTGAGGTCTTTCATCCATTTTGAGTTCATCTTTGTGTATGGTGTAAGAGAATGGTTGAGTTTCATTCTTCTGTTTGTAGTTGTCCAATTTTCCCAGCACCATTTATTGAAGAGACTGTCTTTTTTCCATTGCATATTTTTTCCTGCTTTGTCAAAGAATATTTGACCACAGAGTTGAGGGTCCATATCTGGGCTCTCTATTCTGTTCCATTGGTCTATGTGTCTGTTTTTGTGCCAGTACCATGCTGTCTTAGTGATCACGGCTCTGTAATATAGCTTGAAATCAGGCAACATGATGCCCCCAGCTTTGTTTTTCTTTTTCAACATTTCCTTGGCAATTCGGGGTCTTTTCTGATTCCATACAAATTTTAAGATTGTTTGTTCCAACGCTTTGAAAAATGCCATTGCTGGGCGCCTGGGTGGCTCAGTTGGTTAAGCGACTGCCTTCGGCTCAGGTCATGATCCTGGAGTCCCGGGATCGAGTCCCACATCAGGCTCCCTGCTCGGTGGGGGGTCTGCTTCTCCCTCTGACCCTCCCCCCTCTCATGTGCTCTCTCTCATTCTCTCTCTCTCAAATAAATAAATAAAATCTTTAAAAAAAATGCCATTGCTATTTTGATTGGGATGGCATGGAAGGTATAGATTGCTCTGGGTAGCATAGACATTTTAACAATGTTTATTCTTCAGATCTATGAGCATGGAAAGTTTTTCCATCTTTTTGTGTCTTCTTCAATTTCTTTTATGAGTATTCCGTAGTTCCTAGCGTTCCTTTACTTCTTTGGTTAGGTTTATTCCAAGATATCTTACGGTTTTTGGTGATATTGTAAATGGAATCGATTCTCTAATTTTTCTTCCTACAGTTTGATTGTTAGTGTATAAGAAAGCAACTGATTTCTGTGCATTGATTTTGTATCCTGCCACATGACTGAATGTCTGTATGAGTTCTAGTAATTTGGGAGTGGAGTCTTTTGGGTTTTCCACGTAAAGTATCATGTCATCTGCGAAGAGGGAATTTGACTTCTTCTTTGCCAGTTTGAATACATTTTCTTTTTGTTGTCTGATTGCTGTTGCTAGGGCTTCTAGAACTATGTTGAACAATAGTGGTGAGAGTGGGCATCCTTGTCCTGTTCCTGATCTTAAGGGAAGGGCTCTCAGCTTTTCCGCATTGAGAAAGATATTCACTGTGGGTTTTTTATAGATGGAGTTTATGAAATTGAGGAATGTTCTCTCTCTCCCTATACTCTGAAGAGTTTTCGTCAGGAAAGGATGCTGTATTTTGTCAAATGCTTTCTCTGCATCAATTGAGAGGACCATATGGTTCTTCTCTCTCCTCTTATTAATGTGTTCTATCACATTGATTGATTTGCTAATGTTGAACCACCCTTGCATGCCAGGGATAAATCCCACATGGTTGTGGTGGATGATCCTTTTAATGTACTATTGGATCCTATTAGCTAGGATTTTGTTGAGAATTTTGGAGTCCATATTCATCAGGGATATTAGTTTGCAATTCTCCTTTTTGATGGGGTCTTTGCCTGGTTTGGGGATCAAGGTAATGCTGGCCTCATAGAATGAGTCTGGAAGCTTCCTTCTGTTCCTATTTTTTGAAACAGCTTCGGGAGAATAAATATTATTTCTTCTTTGAATGTTTGGTAGAATTCCCCAGGGAATCCATCAGGCCCTGGACTCTTGTTTTTTGGGAGGT